TATATATATATATATATGTATTTATATATATATATATATATATATATATATATATATATTATTGAGAATATTGATATCTAAATTATAACTTAGGACTAATCTAGTCAATATTTATTGATAAACAAATTAATTCAATAGAAATAGATGATGGTCTCATTTAACATATCAACATACACGAGGAAAATGTGGAGATAGTATTATATTTTTTTTTATATAAATCAAAAGCCAAAATTTAAAGTAAGATAGAACACAATTTTATACAACATTAGAATTAATTACAAACTTGTTTAAAAATCCAGTAAAACTATAAATCACCTATTCTATCCTCAATGTAAGTCCACATATAAAAATATAAAATTCAAAAAAAATCATATTCGATCTCAACTAATATAAACTAGTATTGTATTAATAACCAATTACTAAACATATTATTTATAATTGATTGACTAATCACTAAAAGAGTGTCGGAAAACTCATCCAAACATTATAATGCACTCAAACAAAAAAGTATAAATGTAGGTAAATCGACTTAAATACTTTTATTCCTTTACAACACAAAAACAAGCATTCAATTAATTGAAATTACTAATTATTATGTATAATACTTTTAATTGAATGATGGAGATTTAACTAACAAAATTGAAAAGTCCTCTCTCATCCTCACCCACGCTTCCCCTACCCCATTATCAACATCCTCTCATCCCCCTCTCTCTATCCATTTCTCATTGAGCATCACTATTAAATTGAATTAATAAAGTCAATAATAAAAATAAAAATTTGACACATTTAAAATAAATAGAATAAAATGTTAAAAAGAGACTAAAAATAAACCTTTACATATTTATAGGAACGAAAAAGGTGTTTAACCAAAAAAAAAAGATTGTTACAACATCTTGTATATTTTTTTATAAATAATTGCAAAATGCAAAACTATATAAACAATATACTAATCGTGTAGAATAATTGCATCTTAAAAAAAATCACGTTCAGAAATATATTGAGGAAACAGTTTTATCTATAAATAAATGTTGTCGCTCAGCATCACTTATTATTCAGAAATGACAGATAACATTTTAACACATCTGATCTACAAGGAAGTAGAGGAAGAAAAAGAAGACAACCGCCATGACCCCTTTTCAACCCAAGTAAAATTATAGGGTCAACAAGGGAAAGACTTAGCGAGTAAATATCAACCTAATTAAACCTAGTGAAGCTTAGGTTTAACTTTTGCAGCTAATCTCTTCTTTTCCTAAACTCAGATGATGCACCGAAAAAATGCTGTATACGATTTACCCGGAAATAATGTACAGATTATAGAACTATTTATACATTAAGATATTAACTGCTCCACATCAGACTCTACCGAAAGTTTGAAAAGAACAAGGTCAAAAAATAAGGATCAATCACCGAGGGATCCTCAACTCATACTGACAGCCCGCCATTTCTTCATATTCTTTTTTCGCTGAGATCGGGGAAACAAAAGTTGCCAAAGCTGTTTTTCAGCTGCATTTACTGTGGCGGCCTGCAAATGAGAGGAAAAAAAATCCATTAAGTAAATTAATATCTATCCGTCCATAGAGGTGCTTGTATATTATATAGGTCATCTATGGAGTGCAATAGCCTATGTGATAGGCTTTTGCTAACCATTAGATAAAAAGGCCTTAAATCAACAGCCGTGGACTGTAAACGCTTATTTCACATGTGATCAATTACACAAACGCAAGTGTTCCCTCCTATTCTGATCACATTTTCATTACCTTACACCAGCGCATGGCCAACCAACGACAATGCAACAACACCTTTATTGCATTTGATGTAGTGGTGGCCAGACACTTTTGTACTTGTCCCTTCTCTTCTTCATCTTCATCCTATAGGTTTGTTTACCTTTATTACTTCTGAAATTCCTAACTAAACCGTTAACTGAGAAGCCCACTTCGCAAATCCTCTTCCTGTGTGCTAGGAAAGCATGTGATATGTGTGTGACAAATTGGTTGACTTAAAACCTCAGACATGTAGTTTTGCTTCAAATATTATTGATAATTCAGGACCCTCAGAAATCCCAAAAAATATTACTAATATAAATCCATCAAATTATACTACTCAAGTTCTAGTTACAAAATAATGCGAATAAATATTTTTTCGGCTATTATATAAATATGATTTTCCGTGTTCCATTGGAGTTAACATTATCATGTAACGTGCCACATGAAACACTGGGATAGCATAAAAAATCATAAGCTTCTTAGAACTAGATTGTTTTAGCAATAACAACTAATACTCATGTTCTCATCAGGATGTTCAGGGGAGGGTCCATGAGGCAATCAACATGAAATAATGTGATTCCGTTGAAACCCACAATGCTTACCTGGACTTTGAATGCAAAGCGATGAGTTTTTACTTCTGCACCTGAAAGAACCCTAACATCCACGCCAAGGCTGTCAACCCCAACCAGGTAAGCTTCCTGGAATCCAAGTAATAACAGTGAAATAAAAATCGGCTTAAACCTACTGTGAACAGTACACGCTCAAAATCAAAGAATAAGCATATAATGAACCAAACACTAGCCATTTCCTACATGTGAGTGTATTTGTTTGGCATCATGAAGGGAAAGGAATGGGATAGAAAAGAAAAGTAAAGGAATCATCACTTTCATTGTTAGGAAAGTCCAATGGAAAATAAGGGAGGCTGTCCTTTATTTAGATGGTTTCATAAAGGAAAAGAATGATGTATGTAAATAAATGTCAAAATATTTTATCACCCTTTATCTAATAAAATTGATTTACTTGAAAGATTTGCATAGGGGAAAAGTGGGAAAAAATTGGATTACCTTGGCATCAAGACCCTTCTTCTTGCAAAGAGCTTTAAGAGCTTCATCACAGAATTGGTTGAAGCGCTCCAGAATTGCCGAAGAAGAGCGTGCAAGAATATCGGGTTCAGCATCTTGAAACTCTAGCACACTAATTTCAGACTGCAATTTTTGTGGACAAGCAGAACATGCATAATTTGTAATTTAGAATAGATCAACAAACTTAACCAATGCTTCAAATTACTAAAATTATTGGGGTTTGCTAATGCACACTCACTTGCTTTCTAGGAGTATTTTAGCAAGCTATGCCTTTTGGTGTATTTTTAAAAAATGAATTTATAACTTGTTAGCAAATTAAACCTTTGGTATATTTTAAGAAAAACAATGTATATCAACAAATCTCTTGTATATATATATATATATAGATAGATAGAAAGAGAGGGGGGGGGGGGGGGGGGGGGGGGGGGGGGGGG